GGAAAAACAGAAAGCAAACAACTAGAACATAACCTGACAATGCTGAGCCAGTACATATCAGTGATATCCATAAATGTAAATGGCCACAATTTACCTATCAAAAGAAATAGGTTGACAGAATGGATCAAGAAACAGGATCCTACAATATGCTGTATACAATAAACATGTCTGACCCAAAAGTAAACTCATAGATTAAAAGTCAAAGGATGGAAAACAGTATTCCATACAACAGGAACCCAGAAAAATGCAGGGGTAACTATTCTATTTTCAGACAATGTGAACTTCAAATCTAAAATGATTAAAAGAGATAAAGAAGGTCACTACATACTTGTTAGTGGAAAAATTCAAGAAAAAGAACTAACAATAATAAATATATATACACCAAATACAGGAGCACCCAACTATATGAGACAAATACTAATGGACATGAAAACACCAAATACACAAAAACACAATTGTAATAGGAGACTTTAACACCTCATTGTCACAAAGAGATAGATCAACTAGACAAAAAGTCAGCAAAGAAATAATAGAACTGAATACCTGTGAGCAAATGGACTTACTGGATATTTACAGAGTGTTCCACCCCACCACATCAGAATATACATTCTTCTCAGCTGCACATGGGGCATTCTCCAAAATAAACCATATATTAACCCATGAAGCATTCTTAACTAAATGCAAAGGGAGTGAAATTATCCCATGCATACTACCTGATCATAATGCACTAAAATTGGAAATCAATGGCAAAATCTCTGCAAAAACTGCATAAATCCATGGACATTAAATAACAACCTTCTTGAATAACCAGTGGGTTACAGATGAAATTAAAGAAGAAATAAAACAATATCTACAATATAAGAAAATGGAGATACAAAATACTATAACCTATGGGATGCAATGGAAGCAGTCCTAAGAGAGAATATATAGCAATAAATAGTCACATCAAGAAAATGGATTGAGCACGAATAAATAACTTAATGCTACATCTCATGCTTCTAGAAAAGGAAGAGCAAGTCAAGCCCAAAGCTCATAGGAGAGAGGAAATTATAAAGATTAGAGCAGAAATAAACTAAACTGATAAACTCCTGGCCAACCTTATCAAGAAAAAGAAAGAAAAAACTCAAATCCACACAATAAAGACCGAAAAGAGGGAAATTACTACAGATCCCATGGAAACTCAAAAGATCATGAAAATCTCTACTCACATAGGGTAGAAAACACAGAAGAAATGGATAGATTTCTAGAAATATGTGAACTACTAAAGCTCAATCCAGAGGATATGACAATTTTGAATAACCCAATATCAGCTACTGAAATTGAAAACATGATTAAAATCTTACCAACAAAGAAATGCCCAGGTCCTGATGGGTTCAGGGCTGAATTTTATAAGAAATTTAGAGACGATTTAACACTAATACTTCTTAAACTCTTCAATGAAATTGCAAGAGAAGCAGTCTTCCCCAACTCATTCTTGGAGAAAAGTATCACTCTGATACCAAAACCAAGAAAGACCCAACCAAAAAGGAGAACTATAGGCCAATCTTACTAATGAACATTGATGCAAAGATTCTCAATAAATAGATTACACACCATGACCCAGTGGGGGATTTATTCCTAGAATACAGGGATGGTTCAACATATGCAAATCAATAAATGTAATACACCACATTAGCAGAACCAAAAATAAAAATCACATGATCATCTCAATAGACACATAAAAAGCTTGTGATAAAGTACAACACCTGTTCATGATAAAAACCCTATAGAAACTCAAAATAGACGGTGTATACCTCAATCTCATAAAGGCCATCTCTGACAAACCAACAACCAACATTACACTAAATCAACAAAAACTGAAAACCTTCACTTTAAAATCAGGAACAAGGATATCCACTATCACCACTCCTACTCAATATAGTTCTGGAAATATTAGCCAGAGCAATCAGACAAAGGGAGAAATAAAAGAAATAAAGATAGGAGAGGAAGAAATTAATTTATGATTATTTGCAGATGACATGATAATCTACCTGGAAGCCCCCAAAAACTCCATTAAAAGACTATTAGAGGCAATAAACAAATTCAGCAGTATAGCTGTACAAAGTCAACAATCAAAAATCAATAACATTCTTTTACACAGACAAAAAAACCAAATATAGCCTTTCACAATAACATCTAAAAAAATGAAATAAACCTAACCAAGAACGTAAAAGACCTATATACTGAAAATTATACTACTCAAAAAAAAAAAAAAAAAAAAAGAAGATCAAAGAGGATAATTAGGCTCTTGGTTAGGAAGAACCAACATTGTGAAAATGGCTATACTCCAAAAACTGTTATACAGATTCAGTGCAATCCCAATCAAAATACCATGAACATACCTTACAGATCTAGAGAAAATATTCCTAAAATCTGGAAACAGAAGAAACCTAGAATAGCAAATTCTGGGCAACAAAGGCAAGGCAGGAGGCATCTCAATTCCTGACCTGAAACCATACAACAAAGCCACAGTGATGAAATCAGTATGGTACTGGCAACTGAGGATCAATGGAATGAATTAGAAGATTCAAACACTTCTACAAAGACACTCAGCCACCTTATATTTGACAAAAGGGCTAAACATGTCCACTGGAAAAAAGATAGCCTTTTTAATACATGTTGTTGGAAAAACTGGCTTTACACATGCCGAAGACTGAAAATAGATCCATGCCTATCACCATGCACAAAACTAAAGTCAAAATGCATCAAGGATCTAAATATTAAAACAGAAACACTAAATCTACTGGAGGACAAGATAGGCAGAAATCTTGGAGACATAAGGGTAGGCAGAGAATTTATGAATAAAATGCAAACCACATGGGAAATGCTTCAAAGAGTCAACAACTGGAATCTCATATTACTAGAAAGTTTTTGCACTTTAAAAGAAATAACCACAAGGTGAAAAGAAAACCCACAGAACAGGAAAGAATTTTAGCCAACAATGTCTCAGACAAAGGACTTATATCCAGAACATATAAAGAATGCAAACAACTTTAAGCCCCTCAAATTCAAAGACCCTCTCCAAAAATGGGCATCGAGATGAACACACAGTTCTCAGATGAAGATATACAAATGGCAAATAAATATATGAAGAAATTTTCACCATCACTGGTCATTCGAGAAATGCAAATTAAAACAGCATTGAGATTTCATCTCACCCCAGAGAGAAAGGCCACCATCAAGAAATCAACTGATAACAAATGTTGGCAAGGATTCGGAGAAAAAGGAACAGTTCTGCACTGTTGGTGGGAGTGCATATTGGCACTGTGGAAATCAGTATGAAGATTCCTCAGAAAAACTAGGATTGGAAGTTCCAATCAATCCAGCTATTGTCCTCCTGGGTATTTTCCCAGAAAAATTGAAAAGTCATGTCACAGTGATATATGTGTACCCATGTTCATAGCAGTACAACTGATACCTAAATCTTGGAAACAAACAAAATGTCGATCAACCACAGAGTGAATGAAAAAGTGTGGTATTTTTATACAATGGAGTACTATTCAGCTGTAAGGGGGTATGATCTTGAAGCCTTTATAGGTAAATGGAGGCAACTTGAGAATGTCATTAGTGAAATAAACAAGGCTCACATTAGTAAATTTCACATTGTGTCTGTAGTGTAAAAAATAATAAAAACTGATACAGTAATGGGGTCCAAAAAGTATAATAGATATTGTAAAAGTGAAAGGGAAGGAAAGTGCCCTAAAGGGTATAATGGTATGTATAATATATCTATAAATAAGATAGATATCTATACATAAGATAGATAACCACATTGCTAAATTTCTGTTAGATCATTGAACAGAAGGGTTTGCACTGTCAATTTTTGAGTGTCTAGCCACTTTTTATGCTTTGGTTTTGTAACTTAAACAACTATTTTTAAGATGACAATATGTAATGTATCAACTAGCAATTTTATCATGTTAATTTTTTGGAATTATGTAGTATTGCATCTTTTTTCTCTTTTTTAAAAAATTTTTTCTTTTCTTTCTTTAAATAAAGTTAAAAAAAAGAAATGTTGCCTCTGATGCTCTCAAAATATGTTCAGAATCACATACTTTAATGATCTCTACAACCACCTCCCTGCCATGGTCACCATAGCTGCTCACCTGCCACAGGTCCATATCTGATTCTTCTATGTGTCTATGCTGTGGCAGAGTTCATGTAGCATGGGTGACAGTGCAGCTATCTCCTGTTTTCTTCGCATCACAGTCAGAGTGATCCCAGAGCATGTCTCCTGCTTAAAAGCCTTTCATGGATTATCAGCTCAGAGTAAAAGCTCAAATTATCCCAAGGGTCTGGGCTCTGCTCTATCAGCTTCATGAACGCCAGTCCTTCCTCCTGTTCAGTCACTGTCATCACCTTAGTCATCTCAAGCAGGTTTCTAACCTTCATTCTAGTGCTATCCTGCAGGTGGCCAAGGGGGTCTTCCCTCACTCCTCTCAGTCTCTGCCTAGATGTTACCGTGCCAGTGAGTTTTTCCCTGACTATCCTCCATGAGAGAGGTTCTCTCTCTGTGCAAGCCACACCCCTCAATTTATGTCCTCTGTCTATATATCGTAACCCTCAGAAACCTAATATCTGACCTGCTATTTTATTCATTTTTCTTAATTATATGTCTTAAATGTATGTATACTCCATGATGCCAGATGCTTTATTTTCTGTAGTTCACTGCTCTCCTTCAGCATGCATAAGCATTCAATAATTAATTATTTATGCAATAGATATATCCTACAGCTAATTTACAGATGAGGAAACCAAGGCTCAGAGAGGAGCCTGTCTTTGGTCTTGTAGTGAGACAGGATTGAACCGTATCCAGGACTTCATCTCTCTCTGCCCCTCCTCTGTCCACACTACATCAATATGCTCTAAACTTATTTGGCATTCAGAGTTTCAAAATAATCAGTCATTATCAGTTTTTTAACCTTCATAATTTGTACAGAAGAAGTGTCCTTCCTCCTTACCTTTATGCGTTCAATTATTTGTCCATCTTCTGGCACATCAGGATCTATAGCAATGATGATGTCTTCATAGCCATTGCCATTCAGCTGCACTAGGGACGCGTTTGAGCCCCACAGCAGGTGCAGGACTAAGAGGGAAGCGAAGGCTCTGAACAGCCCCATTGTTCCCCTCAAGTCGTTTGAAAAGCTTTTATTGTGACTTGTTTTTCTCCACGTATATATATACTCCTAAAAATTATCTCTGTTACTGATTAGGTGATATTGACTGTGTAAAGGTCAGTGTGACACATGGGAGAAGATATTTTACTTCAATTTGCATAATATTTTATTGTATTTTACTGTAAATCAAATGATCAAGAGGCATAGCAGAAACCCAAACTTTATAAAATGTATTGCACATTTTCTTCTTGATACTGTTTTATACTTACTAATTTTGATTAGATATATTTTATGTAGAGTGTAATGTGAGAATTAATAAAAATTCATAATAAATTAAAAATAAATTACATCATATTAATAAAGTTGCTCATCTCACAGAACAATATTATTATATAGATTTTTTACCTAATAATGATTATTTATGGAATAAATAATGCTAGTGAATGCAAGATCATGAAGCATAAGTAACACCAAATGAGGTAAAATGGATTTGAAATCTAGAGCTAAGACTTTAATGGCTTTGATAAATTTAAGATTTGATAAGGTGAAGTTATTAAACTAAAAAGAAATCCTATCCTGTATAGAATGAATGGAACTTGTTTTATACCCATGCATAACACAAGTACTTGCTACTTTGCTCATTACTGTTAAGATTATATGAATACAATAGTTAACATTTAATAAGTTCTTATAAGGGCATAGATTGAGATCTTACTGAATCTCACAGATAATTATATATATATATTATTTTGATTTTATGTGTGGAGAATCTGAGGCATGCAGAGTTTGAAACTTGCCAAGATCACACAGATGTTGAAAATCAGAATTAGACTTTAAACATAGCTTTTTCACTCAGCTCTGAAGGATTTAATCATCTCATAAGAAAGCAATATTGTGTTATGAGGCAAATAGGGTAAATTGTTTTTTAACAAGGGAAAGAAAAAGGAGAAAATAAGTTAGTTTAAGCGTCATAATGATAACTCAAGAATGCATTTTGATGGGACTGAATCAAGTAATGAAGCTTGACTACAACTTTTCTTTGAAAATTTTGGTTGTTTCAAATGTATTTTCTGGAGATAACCCATTTATCTTTTTCTCAAGCTGTGTGTAGCTTATCACAATCTAACAGATTATATTTTTATAAATGAATATGGACCTTTAAAAATACATTGTTCTAAGGTAAAAGAAACCATGACTCATAAGAAGTCAAAAGAAGAAATGTCAGAAAATCAGTTAATCAGTCAATCAGCCGAATAGGATAGGATAGCAGAAACTTTCTTTAAGAATTGCGAAAAGAGGACACAATGTTGAACTCTTGATCACATCCTCATTACAAGTCTTTATCATAGTTATCCAGATTCTGATTTTTCACGGTGCATCTTATGCCTTCCTCCCCCTCCTCCAGTCCTACTGGAGGTTAATTGTACACAGAATTAGTTTGTTGTGCAGATTCTGCACAGATTTGTCACCCTGGCAACCCCAGGGAAATTTTCATGACTTGGAATGGGCATAGGATAGAGCATTAAACAAAAATCCTATGGAGTCTTGCTCCGTTTCCCTTGATACTTACCCTTTCTACTGTTCCCTGCCTTTCACATAACTCCAGCGTTGATAACTTTTAGCACCAAATGTAATCTCATCCTATAGAATTTGTGTTCAGGAAATTATTTTTGATTATTGGGCTGACCAACATAGTGAATTGTAATGATTTTAATAAAAGTAACATATCACAGTGTCTAAACAGCAGCTTGTTCAAAGTTTTTGAAATGTTGGAGACATCTGGGATACTTGAATCCTTTCTATTGTTTAGGGGATTATTTAGTTTAATTTGAGGAGGTGCTATTATTCACCCAGTAATTTCTGGTAACTCTTAGTTATAAGATTGTCAGAAAGAGATTTCCTTTTTATAAAAAGTTAGGAAAATTTTCCTCTAGACACTGAGAACATACAGTTTGGGAAAAATATATAATATTGGGAAAATATAAATATGTATAATAATCTCCTCTGCTTGTTCCTGGAATCAGAGAAACCTTGGGATTTGAGGCAAATATACATCTTTGATTCTTTTCCATTGATCTTTGTGGCTGATAATATCAATTATTTTTGTAAACCAGAACCATCCTCTCCACAACTTCTAATGGGTTCCAGTTAACTGGTTCAGCGACCAGTCCTTGTTTTCCATGAAGCAACTTCAGAAAGACATTCTGGCATAGGCTGTCTTGTCATGAGTCAGAAAAGACCATGATAAGTGGGTCTGAACCAGAGCCAATATGGGTATCAATCTGATTAGTATCAAGTCAGGCATACAATCAAGAAAGCCAGGATTCCTTGGCCATAACCGAGTCAAAGAAGAGCCTTGAATAAAATAATTTGTTATGCATCCATACTACTGTGCGAGAGAAAAATACATCCAACATATCAAGCTTGCATTTTCATAGACATTATTGTAGAATGACAAGAAGTTTATTCTTTTCTCTTTAAAGTGAGTCAATTTAAATAAAAATATTGGGAAAATAAAAACCGGAGTGTGGCCCAACTCAGGGCTGGCATCTGAGATTATCAAATCTACTCTGTTAGTATATAGAGAACCTCCTTGTAAATTATTGAATACCATTTTGTAATGTAAATTAGCTATCAATGAAACATTCTATCAATGAAACTTTTTGTGTTTTTAAATTTTCAGTTTTGGGGATTAGAAAATGTAAGGGGAAACTTTTCAACATTCCTTTACTAGTCTTGGAAATTGTACAACCCAAGTTATTCTTGCTGCATTTCATTGCTTTTGATATTTTTAGGTCTATAATGTCATTCTTTGTAGCTTCTCAAATTGATTGTTTAACTAATTTATTTTTGTTCACTTTATTTTTGCCTAGGAACAAATATTGACACAAGTTTACTAAGTACTATTTTGGCTGTGTTTTGCAAATTTTAAAATATTGTGGCCTAGCCAAATAGTGTCTTTGGTTATACTGATATGTTTGAAATTTGTCTCTTCATAGTTTATCAATCTAATTTCAATTTTGATTTTTCTCTCTAATTCTCTACCAGATTAGAGGCATTTGATATATTTAATGCTAATTTGCTAAACTTCTCCCAGTGATCTCAAATATAATATGCTAGTTTCATATTTGGTTTTAGTTATTTTTATTTTTAATAAAATCTTTAGGTTGATATGTGTGATTCTAAAAATTTGGCAAATATTTTATTTCACATATATAATTAGTCTATTTTCTCGAATAATCTTTATTATGCATTAAGAGATTTATTCAACTTCAAATGCAGTTTTAGCTATCATAACTCAAAAAATTAACTTATGATAAGTCAAAAAAGAAATATATAAAGGTAAATTTGCAATTCATTTAGATATGACCAATACAACTACATGAATGTAAATAAATATCATACTGATTTCCATGAACATATACAATTAATATGTGTTAGTGGCGTAACATGATTTCAGGTGAGACCAGGTACATTTAGGGGGATATTGCCTTAGATAACATAACTGATTTCAGCGGGTAATACATTAACAGTATAGAAAGGCTGAGTAAATATAAAAGTCTTTGAAGAACTTCCCTCTGATATGCTAATAATTCTCTCTTGAACTTTTTTTTTTTTGTATTTCAAACATACACTTCGTTGGCTCAATGACATTGTTTCTCAAGAGCTATAAAATAAGGAGTTGGACTTTGCCATGTGAACTTAATTGGCCAAGAAGTTCCTCATATATTCCTTTGAGGAAAAATAGTGTATCATGTGGCAAAAAAAAAGAATGTTCATTTTTTGTTTTGTTTTTGTTTTTTAACATTCTATTGCAGGTTCTTTGCTGGGATTTCTCATGAACAACAGTCATCCCACAAGGAGAATAAGAGCTTCAGATTACCATGGTGACTGAGCTGAGCTGTCTCCTCTCATAGGACTTTAGCCAGCCGCAGGCTAGGGGAGTAATAACCACATCCTTTATGAAGGGAAGACTTGGATTATAAATGAGGTAGTCATAAGGTCTGTATTTCATTTCTCATTTTAGGGAAGGAATTATGTTTGCCAGATTTTTTATTAAAAAACTGATATTTCTTTTTGAATTTAAAACTCACCCCTTTATATATTTCTGAAGACAATTTACATTTCAGTTGTTACGAGTTACTTGCCTTAACACAGAATTTGGGATGTAATAGCTTGAAATTTATTGTGTGACGTTTGGCTTCTTCCCCCACCTCTTTAAATCTTTTTGTTGCTAATGTGCGTGTTCTGCTCTGGACTCCTGTGCTAAGCACACATGGGTCAGGTCCTGTCCTAACTTCCAGAGCAAGATCTGGAAACCAGGTTCTCTTACCCTAACAACATGACATCTTGGTAATTACGTGTTAAGCGTAGTCTAATGAGTCGAAATCATTTGTTTTTGAGTTAAACTAATTACCATATTCAGTTCATTCTAGGCCTTTTTGGGTTCATTCGTAAGCTAGGCCTAATGTTAAAACTAAAATTAATATAAGTGCAACTAATAATAGCATCTAATTAATAGTTTGTGGGGGTGCATTCTTTTGACCTAGTAAGTATCTGCTTTTCAGACAGTGTTTTGAGGGTACAGAGGGAATGTCTTTATGTATGCGATGAAAAGCATGAGAAACCCCAATTTTGACTTTAGGTCAGACCATTCTTGTTAGTTGTACTTCACCATATATGAAGCTAACATTTTGGTCATCTGCTTGATCCCAGTGTCAATTTGCATATCGGTTCCAAACCCTGAAAGGGGAATGGCTATGTTTCTGTTTTGACCAATTTAAAGCCCAGTACACTAAACAATATGCCATCACAGTGTTGTATATTCTTGGGAAATTCTACCATTTAAAGCATTTTTCACTGAGTTCCCTTCTTTCTTAGTGTCTGGTTTCTTCCTACCTTCTCTTTTTCCTTTTACTTCTTGCATTATTAAGTTCCTGGAACTCCAAGTGCTTTTTCTCTATTCTTCAAAGCAGTACTTCTGCTCTTTCCTGCTGCTCCCCCAAAACTTGCAC